CTTTTTTCATCCACCTCATCGATGATGAAGAGCCCGAGATCGAGAAGGATTGGGAGCAAGAAGTCGAGATTGGGGTTCCCGAAGAGAAGGCCGAGATCTCGATGCATGCGATGGCTGGTACAAGAGGGCTGAAAACGATGTGGCTGCCGGAGTTGGTCAAGGACCATCGTGTAGTCGTGCTAGTAGACAACGAATCGTCGCACAACTTCATCACTGCCGATCTATCTCAGAAACTGAAGTTGCCAACAACAAAGGTAGAGCCATTCGAGGTTCGAGTAGCCAATGGTGAACAACCAAGGTGCACCGAGTCTTATCGCAGGGTCCCGATCAAATTTCAAGGAGTCACCATCAAAGCTGATCTCTATGCGCTACCGTTGGTTGGACCCGACGTTGTGTTAGGAGTACAATGGCTCGAAGGTTTAGTAAAGGTGACCACCGACTACCGGATGGGAGTCATGGAGTTCGACTCAGGAGAGCACCGGGTCACGTTAAAAGCAAGCAAAGATAGCAGAGCCAAGGAGTTTGGTCTCAAGAGTATTGAGCGGGTTTGGCATGGGGGCGGTCAAATTTTTACCGTCGAGGAAGTAGGCACGTACGCGAGCATGGTCGAGCATGTCTCGACGGAATATGATGGCCCACCTATCTTCGATGTATACCCTGATGAACACTTTGTTGAGGTCAAAAGAGTTTTAGGCGAGTCCGACAGAGGAGAAGGCCAGATCGACGGAAAGTGTAAGAGTCCATCTTCCCATCTGACTTCTCGAAATATTTTTCAACGGTCATGAAGTACGAGTACGAGATGACAGACTATGAAGGACCGCCTATATTCGATGAATACCCCGACGACTTTGTTGAAGATGAAGGAACTTTGGTTGAGTCTAAAGGAGATGAAGTGGCCGACGAGGTTCAGAAAGAGAATGAAGAAGGTGTGCTGGAGATTTCAGTGGTTGAGGAAGAAATTGTGCACGTAGTGTACGAGTTGAGAACGCCCCAAGTAATGGTCGATGACAAGTCCTTGAGGACAAGGACATTCTTA